ATCCGTATTTTTATTGCTTTTTTTTTTGGTTGAGTTGCTCCAACTTGGCTCTTGGCCAGATCTGAAAGGGTTTCTGATTGCATTCAATATGCACACCTGCAAATGCATGGACCCCCCTCCCCCCTTTTCTGTCCCCTAGTTAATCTTTTTTGAAATTTCTCTAGTGTTGTAATTCATCATCTCACGCTGATCACAGTGCTTAGATCTTAATTAAAGCCATGCATTTTATTGTTGATGACACAAGAATCAATTTCTTTTGCTATTTGTAAAAATGACGACATATATGTATAAAAATGAAAATACATCTGTAGCATAGTAGTTTTTTTTTGTGCGGTTGAAGCAAAAAGTGGGCTCGTCTTGATTCCAAAACACACCAGTTCTAGCCTAAAGTTTCTTAAGGATGTCTGTTATCTGAATGGGAAAACAAAAATCTTTAATGAGTCCAACTATTTACAGACCCCAGACTCTAACAGTCAAGAACTTGGTGATAAAACTGAACACGACCAGACAGAAGCGCTATAAACAGAACATCTATGCATGCCTGAGCAGGAACATCGACTGTACTCCAGAGTTAAAAACACACACAGATGAACTATACGTCCCACTTTGTGTGAAAACCTGTTTACCTTAAGTGTGACATAACTAGGTCTTGGCCCACAGTGGTTGGCCACAGAGAGCCTGTTACAGCAGGATTAAGTAACAACTAAAGCACGAGGTCTGCAGCAGTCAGGAGGAATCCCACGCTCCCACATGGACAAATGCACAAACCACTGCACACAAATCCAAACAGGTGCACCTAATCTTGTCTTATGAAAGCACTCTGTTTTATGTGCTAGTTTAATGATCAGCCTGTAAAGGATTCTGTAGCCTCTCCTAGAACACAGTTCAGCAGATCGAAACTCTTTCCGCAACAGGGACTTTCTTTTTAAAACTTTCTGAGTGAGACGCTCTCTGAGAAAGAAAATATACTTCTGAGGATTCAAACACAAGCTTGACTTTCGTGCAGCTTTAATTTGATGTTCTTTTTCTTTTTTTAAATCAGTCTTTCAATTTTTTTTTAAGTATTAATATAAAGGTTTACAATAAATCAATACCAGACAGTTCTGCTTTGAACGGTTCGAGGTTAAATATTGAACCGTTAAAAAAACAGGCTGAATGGATGGATGGATGGATGGATATTTAAATAATAGTGAGTCTGGAAATACAATTTTTGTTTTGTACTTGATCTGTAAATTATTTCAATGAAGTTCTAGACTTTTCCAGACTTGGTAGGAAACCCTGTTTTCATATCAGAGTCACAAGTAAAAATTTCACCATCTTGCAAAGCGCTGAAAGACAAGCAGCCAGAGAAGAAAAAAAAAAAGAAAAAAAGTGCAAACCATGTGATGTGAAAAGCTCATTATAAAGTAAATAAAGAATATACAACACTCATCAAGTTCAGCACACTTTGTTCCCTATTGTGTAACAACAAGGGAGTGACTAAACTGTATGCTTCTATTTGAAGCATATCCAATTGCTGCCTTAAGGTGATAAAAGTGTTATTGATGGCAGTCTTAACCTACTTCTGACTGGGCTGATGGATAACTGACTGATATGAAGGAGGATGACGTTGTTGTGATACTGCCACAGAGAACCAAGGGGGGGGATTACCAAGATTTGTTCAGCAAATCTCTTCAACAAAGGTGTCCTGGATGCATAAAAAGCAGGGGTTCAAACCTGGGGCTATGCAGAGGTGAGGCTTTGGGGTCACTAAAATGGAAAGTGAAGCTATATTTATTTTATTACTCCTCCTGGTAAGAGAGAGAGCCTGTCCTGAAAAGAGTTCTAGAAAAGTTCCCAAGCTGTGATCTCCAGCTTTGATTTACAAACAGACCACGAGTAACACTATACTAGTGACAGCTTGGCCTTCATGCCCCAAATTCTTGAAGTAACAAGCCTGCATGTTGACAGTGAACCCGGCCTTGACTTGTATTTGAGGGCTATACCCGTAACCTTCTTTGCTTTTCACTAGATCATATCACATAACTACACTTGAGAAGCCCTGGAAAAAAAAGGCCTGAAGGGCCCTCATAACTGCATGGGATGAGGCTTTTGGCTTGTAACGGGTGTTAATCTCTGCTCTCTGACCTTTTGTGGCTATGTACTACTTTTTTTCTTGCTGGTCCACATGTTGTTAGCTGGCCAGATCAACTCCTTTAACCTAAACCCAGGGCCACCCCATAGTTATGCAATTCCCTTATGCTGGTATCAGCAAGCTTGGCAATCACCTACCTGGCCTAGGAGACTGATAGTTCTCTGCCAAGGTTTACATAACAAATGGGAAACAGAGCAAAGCTTGTGTCCCCACAGATGCATGAAAATGTACTTTTAGAACATAAACATTAGAGTCACAATGTGATTCCAACTAAAACGATTAAATAAGGCTCATACAGAACCGCACATTAAGAAAAAGGGCTTTCAGAGTTCACATTTTTTCCACGCAGCTTTCCCTGATAAATCATTTTGTTTACTGTTGGCTTTCTTGGACCATTAATAGATTAGCTGCTGTTCAGGAGCAGACTTATGTAACTGTATCATTCTGTTAACATCTTAAAACCAGATTGCAACACCTAAAATAGGCCACCGTCTTTCCAGAAAAACCAGTTATAACGTTTGATTGCCCCAGCTGCAGGCCTTTAAGAAAGATCAGGCCTTATTAACACCTATTTTAAAGTTTCTCCATTCATCTCATGTTTTGCAAAACTTATTAAATGTTTTGATTTTTGCAGGTTATTGTATGACAACAGTCTGCATTAAAGAGGACTACTTCCATGCAAGAATCTTACACATTTCTAAGCCAGTAGCCCAATCTAATCGCATACAAGTGTTTGGACTCAACTAAGGACCATTGTTAGCTTATTATATATTACTTAGCTTGTAATTACAATTTGTGTTTTCTTTATTTATACGTGAAAAAAGCGCTTTTTGAAATTTTATCCTAACAAGACCACATGACTGAAAATATATTTTGCATGAGTGCAATGATTAAACAAGGAAGAATCATACAAGCAATGAAGCCGAGTGAGTAAGCAACCGTGGGTGGAGGTGTGAAAAGAAAGAGGGAAAAAGTCCAAGATCAAATGTGAAAAAAGCAATAAAATTAGATTGTTTTAACAACACAAAGAATAAGAAACAATAAGTGTTCAGAATGCAATGTTGGTGTTCAGTGAAATTGGGAGCTAAAGCTGCAAAAGCAATCTGATTTTGCTGCAGAGTCAAAGGATGCTTAAGCCCACTGGCCAACTAATACTAATAGTGATAGTATTGCTTTCTTTAAGCTCTTAGTGATACTGACAAAGATATTAATATGGTATTTAATGCATATAATATTCGCCATTTTTCAAATTTCCGACTTAGTGATGGAAGCAACCGGAAGATGGTTCACACCTATGTTTATGTCTGCTGATCAGCCTGGTGCAAAAACTTTTTATGCTAAAAAATAACAAGGTAAACACTTTCAAACATGTTTGCCATACTTTGAACCTAAGGTATTGTTTTGTTTATTTTAGAGCAGTCATACCATGAGACTTTTAATGATCCCAATGAAAACGTTCAATATTTTAATAATGGTTAATCTTTACTGCTTGACTGATTTCTCTGTATTTAAAGTAATAAAGGCGTATAACCAGAGCCAGTACCAGGCATAATCCGAACAGGCAGTTTTTTTAGACCAAAGAAATAAGAATTACTACAGAAATCAGATGTGACAATTAAGATTTTTCTAAACAAATGATACAGGCTCATTAAAAAAAAGAATACCAACAACTAAATATTTTATTTTAGAAAATATATTTAAAAAACTAAATCTTATAGAGTGTCTCGATCAGTGTCTTAATTTGCATGAATACTCATAACGGCTTAGGGCAAATGAAAAGCCTTTACTCTAAAAGTTTAATATCATATAGGCCCGATTTAGCAAAGAAATGTACAACTTTAAACATATCATGTGTTATACGGTCATTTAGGTTCAATGCTGACTTGAAAGTTTTGCAGCAGACAGTCACTGACGATTTCCACAGCAAGGTGAAGTCAAAAGAGGGCATTATTGAAAAAGCCTGTTGATCCTAGACTCCTACAACCATACGTATAAATGAGATAATAAATAGGAAAACTGTCAAAATACCATCAATAAACATGGCCTTGGGTGGACTGTGAAGCAAATATAGTGTGTTGGTCCATCTTATTGTGCCCTCTGTTGACAAGCTTTAAAGAGATGCTGAATTAATATCTGAGCAGGTCTTTCCAACTGTTTTATAATACCAAACACCATGGCACTCCAAATTTGCCTCACAGTGAATCTCTAATAATTAATAATTTAATTGAACTTTATTGATCTCACATTGGAGAAATTTACCATTTAACCCATCCCCTTGGGGAGCAATGGGCTGCCATCTTGAGGCGCCCAAGGAGGGGTTAAGGGTGTTGCTCAGAGAGCCAGTGTGGCAGTCTGTGGAAGTGGGGCTCGAACTCAGATCCTAAGGATTCCAAGCTCTATGCCCTAACCACCAGGACACCACACCCCCTAAAATGGCATCAAGTGGAGGATGACTATTCTGTCCTATACATCTGAGAGAAAAAAACATATCTGATGTTCATTGCAGTGAGCCATAATCATCAGAATCAACATGATTAAATTACTGGAATATAATTAGAGGTAAAGGAATTTTATAATAGACATGTATGGATGTATTAACATTTTCATGATATTATAAGTTATTGGAATGTGTTTGATGTAAAGGATGGAATATGGACGATCCCTCCCTACAGCCTAGGACTGGCTCTGGCTGTGACATAATTTTCTAATACACTCTCGTAACAGGGATGTCATAATTGGATGCGTGTGACTGTCTGCTTGTGCGTCAGCGCATCAGTGGGTTCACAACAAACCACATGCTTTTTGTTTTTGTTTTGATGGAGGAAGGAGGGGGTACGGGGTGGGCGCAGCGTTGCCTCTTTCTTACCTTCCAGCCTGCAGAGCTGTTGCTGTCGCCTTTGTCTTTAAAGTAGGGGATGGATCTCACCATCCAGTCATAGATCTGGGACAGGGTCAGTCTCTTCTCCGGTGAGCTCTCGATGGCTTTGGTGATCAGGTCGGCGTAGGAGAGATTCCCCCAGGCGTTGCGGCGGGACGATGCTTTCCTCGGGGTCTGCGCTGCAGCCAAGCCGCTGGGGGTCAGAGCGCCGGAGGGGGCCGGAGGTGAGTTCGTGGAGAGCGGGGAGTCTCCGCTCTCATGCCCGGGGGAGGGGTACGGACCGTCGGTAACGGGGCTGTTACTGCTCTGGTCCTCTGTCGCAGCAGTGGAGCCATTAACACCGATGGAAGCGGGGGTTGAGCCGTCCTCCTCGTCGTCCTCCTCCTCAGGTATAATATCTGCCTCGGTGCTCTCCGGTTTCACCGCGCTGGAGTCCGGTCGGGGCAGCGGCCAGGTGCAGGAGCGGGGCCGCTTCTGTGGCTCAAAGTCCGGGTCAATGGCCACTTCCAAGTCCGGAAGAGCGTCAGGGAGGGGAGCCTCTGCCATTATCTCCAGACTCAATCTGGTCCTTACTGGGAGCTGATAAAGTTATAGGAGAACAGACGTGGAGCTGTCAAAGTCGCGTCCCATGAATGCGCGCTCCCGTCCTTTGTTGCTGTTCAACCCAAGCGAAGTCCCAGCAGAGGCCAAATACTCAGAAATGAACGCCTGTTGAAGACATTAGAAACAGACCCAGATCAGTGGCCACATAGGCCGAAAGAAAATCAACGAAATATATCTGCAAATAAATGACTTCTTAGAAATAACCAACAGGGTTTAAGTTTAATCGCTTCCATTCTGATCTCCAATACAGGTAATCACATGTGCAGAAATATACAGTAAATAATAATCCCACTTTAAACACCTTACCTTGTGCAATCAATCTCAACACAAAGAAGAAACCAGATCAGATCGTGGGTTGTCCACAGTCACGTCCAGGGGCCATGCTGATCCGCTCTTCTTCCACTGCGCACAGATATGGACTCAGATAAAGATGCGCGCAGGGGCAAGTCGATGTGGAATAAGACTGCCACCTCACTCTGGGTTACTACTGTATATCGCGTTGTTCAGCACGCAGCTTCTCACACACACACACAGGCTCCACTCACACACACGCATGTAAGCCGATCCTGGACCAGCCCCCCTGGAACAGCCTTTTAAAGAGACATTACAGCCCTGCTGCGCAGCGCAGGTGGAGCCAGAATATGTCCTGACATGTTGAAGATAAGTTCAGACATAAACGGAATCAGTAAGAGGAATAGTGAAATATAAGAAGAAGAAGAAAAAAAAAAACTCCTGCAAAAAATAACTGCTATATTTAGCTCCAGTGTTTGGGCTTGAGTTTATGAAATTAGCCCTAAAACGTTTAAAGGGAATAATTGCTTTTTCAATTGGTGTGTACTGACTTAAAATAATAACTCTCCAGTCAAAAAAGCGTTTTATCTCGAAAATCAAATTTCATGCTTCTTAAAATTACACCACAAAGCTTATTTTGGGGAAAAAAAGAAAAGGAAACTAATCAATAAAGAGGAATTTGAATTAAAAACTATATATTTTTCATAATAAAATGCACAAGAATGTTCCTGTTCATTTGCAGTTTTGGATAGGGGCCATATTGCCAGTCGCCCAGGGCGGCATTTAAAAGGGACAACATTTGACAAATATCCCAGTTTTCTGTTGCTTTTAAGCAGGTGTTATCAGTGGAGAGTTGGTGCCCCCTACTTGTTGGTTGACTGTTAAAATGCTTTGAGTGGCATTGTGATGCTTTTTATAAAGTCCCAGAATCCAGATGGTTTCCTGAAGCTTGAATGGTTAGTGGGGAAGCATAAGGAGTCACTCATACAGTTATTATTATTATATAATTATTTTTCTGCTTTCAGGTAATCTGAACATATGCACTATCTCCTGATTTTTGCAGCCTCTAACAGGTCTTTAATTTTTCCATCAATTATAACTAGCTCCAAATCCTTGGTAAGAAAAAGTATCCTGTTTTAGTGTCAGTGTTGTGCTTTATTGCTTTATACCTTTCAGATGATAGATTGAGCCAGTGGTGCCTACTGAAATGATTCATAGGGGTGGCCAGATGGGGCCACTAAAAATCTTGGGGTGGCACTCGGAAACTAAAAGCCATAATTTTAGAGTTTGAATCTACTATTGTGGTAAACCTAAGTAAACACCTACTATATCTTGGTTTATTGTGTGATTTTTATTGTTATGTCGCTGGCTGTGGATAATAGGATGAAATCCTAAACTGATGCTACTGCAATTGACCCTGGCGAGTGGGGTGGCTTGAACAGTGCCTTTTGAGATGTGTAAAACTTGGAAAATAGTTTGATAACCTAAACCTGCTTTAATGACTATGACTAAAATCTCATTTCTAATTAGGTGATTTCCTAGAGCAATTATTTATTTAAGGGGTTCAGAATAAAAGGGGGTGTGATTATAAATGCATCCCACACATTTTAGATTATGCATTTGATTATTATACAATAGTCTGTGTGGTGTACACCAATACATATAATTCCGTCAATATAGCATGAAAATGTATTAAATGGTTCTAGGAGTGTGAATACTTTCCTAGGGGAATAAACACATTATTATCTAATTTCTAAAATATCTTTTATAATAAATTCTTCAATAGATTTTTGTAGTTTTCTGAATACAGTTTGCCTTTTAAATCGTCTGGGTAAACGATCAAGATCTTTAGGTGCTCAAGATTTAGAGCATGTTGCCTTTAATAAGGGATCCACGCAGTCAATCATGGCTGTCAGGCCGTTCAGACCACGCCCCCTGCTGGAGTCCAAAATAATTACGTCACCTCAGTAAAAGAACACACCAGGATGGGTGAGATGATGCTCAGCTCTTTTACTCTCTCCCACCCATCTTCTTTTTTACTCCATCTTGACTAAATCATCACGTCCAGCTCCTCTTTGTCCAGCAGTGTTTTAGGTGCTGCAGCACAATACACATTTTTGCCCTCCTGTGCAGGAATGCTTTTTTGATCATAGCTATTTTGACAAATGCTGCACATTTATGTGCTATTGTAGTTTTATTTCCCGCTATTAAATTTGCCTGCAAAATAGTGACCTAACTACTCAAAGGAGGTTCTAAATTGCTTAATAAAAACATTTAACATTTGTCAAATCTAAAAATAAAGGGTGCACACTACTGCTTTTTTCCTGTATCACTTTCCAATAATGCTCCCCTTATAGATAAAAACATCAAATAAAACATCCAAGTTATTGATCTGTAACCCCGTTTTAACTCCTAAGTTTTAATTATGTAGTGATTTAAAGCAAGGAGGAGACAAAACTGATCAACCTCTTGCCAAACAGTGAGCCTAATCTGTTTAATTATGTTTCCTCTAGTGTGGCTTATTGAACATTTCAGACTAAGTTTCTATGTCAGCACAATAAGCATTTATAAAGAGGTTTTTGTAGCATGCAAAATATGCTGTTTACACAATAAACATGGGTTATAAAGTGTAACAGATTAATACAAAACCATTATAAGGGGAGTCTTAGTGTAAAATGGTAATCCTTTTTTTCCTGTAATTGCTCAACCAGTTTGTAAATTGGTAGTTAAGAATTGTTTCTATGCAGAACTATAGGAGATACTCTGAGCAGGAATCTGAAGTGATGGTTTTGAGAAAATCTAACACAGGTGTCCAACCTCTGCAGAGTGTCTGAGAGCTTGATTGTCTCTATATGCAAACACCAGTGTCTGCACAGGCAGCTTATTAGAAGCTAAAAATGATTTCCCCTTAAACTTTTAAACACTCCAAGGTAAGAAAAGGCTGTGCTGGAAACATTTATATTTAATTAACAAGCTGAACTTCATTTGCCAATCAAATTCCCCTGCAAACCCAACGCTTCCCCACAGCATGATACTGCCATCACCATGCATGTAAGCTAATACATCTCTATTTGACCTCACCCTCTGGCAAAAAAAAAAAAAAGCAGACAATAAAGGTGGGTTCTTATTCAATACCCATTCACTCCTCATCCCTCTTTAGTAATAATTAGATTTTTGACATGCATAACTAATGGTCATGTAAAGCGACTGTCTTACCTGAGCATTGGATCTGCAAAGTATTATGATGCAAAATAAATGGAACATTGTTGATATGCGTTATCCGCCATTTTTTTCAGACAGCAGACTGCATTTAGTGATGTTAAAGCCTGCTATGCATCCTGTCCCTACTTTAAGCTTTTTTATTTCTTTATTCCTGGCATGTTTACTATGTCCCTTAATTTTTATAGTTAGCTGTATTAAATAAAATACACTAATGAAGCAAATCTTAAAGGCAGTTTGGTGAACTGCATCTTATTTAGGAGTTTCAAAGTAAAAGTGTCTGAATACAAAAGCTTAAGAAACATTTATCTTGTAAAAAAATGTATGACTCTGTATCAATGAATCCTTAGTGTATGAATGTTATAGCACTACAGCTTGTAGAGCAAGATAAACTAAAAAGAACCTGGTTACAATGGATGCAACAAATAAAAAATAAAATACAATTTCTTCCAGTTAAAGCCACTTAAAGGAAAGGGGATCCAAGTCAAGAATTGACATGGCTATAGATTTCAGTTTAACTGAAAATGTGTGCATAAAGACAATGGACACAAAAAAAAAACGGGATGGATCATCCGTTTGAGACAACTGAAATGTACTGCATCCATCTCCACTCCCAACGGTGTAATGCTCTGATTGGATTAAAGAGGTACATAGTATGGGACGTGAAGGATTTTCCTTTAACTAAAAAGCATGGTGGGGGTGGACTCCTGGCCTCACATCTGATTCATCCTGAAGAGACTTGTATCTGTGCACACCAGCAGTATCCACTGAATCTAATCTGATCACTGACTGGTATGTTGGTGCTTGTTCCTCAGATCTCGCTGGTTGGCCTGTTTGCTCTGTTCTTATATAAGGCTCTTAGTCTAGATGGAGTAGATGTTATCAAAGCTGGCTGGGCCAGGCTGAAGTGGTGCACTACAATGACCTCATCCTTGGATGGACAATAGTAACAGTTGAGGAAGCTTGTTGATATCTGCTGCCACCTATGGGCAAATATCTAAAACTGAAACAAGTACTGTCCCATGTGACTATTAAAAAGAAGAAAAATAAAACATTAACCTTTTTTTTTGTTTTTCTTTAAGTTTTCATTAGCAAATATTGTACATTGGTGATATATTCAAAAATATAAGCAATAACTTTTGTTTTTTTTTCATTTGAAAGCAGAATACCAATCAAATGTGGAGGATAAAATACAGTTTGGCTATAGTACTGATGGATTTTGAAATCATAAGTCACTATTGGTGGTAACAATGGGTTGGCCTGTCTGTGGTGTTATGCTATGAAAGATCTGTCTGCCTTGCCCTGTGCCTGGTCTGCACAGCCTTATAAATTTAAAAAGAAGTAAAAAAAAAAAAAAAATTAATCATATGTTTCCACGTAAATCTATCAACAAAACATCTCTTATGTTATTTATATATAGTTAAAAATTTTACTTTGCATATCATGTCGCTGCTCTATTCAACTTAATCATTCTCTATAGCCAGATTGAGATTTTAGTGTGCAGCCTGTTTAAATGCGTTGCACGCAATTGTATATTTTTTAAAGTAACGAACACCTTAGATATTAGCTTTTGCTGATAAAGAAATACAATCGATAATTGCATCCATTCTGATTACCACAAACCTCAATAATATTGCACTGGGGTTTATGTGATGGACAAATGGAAAGTAGAGCATGATTGCGAGGTCAAAGGAAATTGATACATGTTTTTTTTTTTTTTTTACAGATTGAAATCTGAAATGCGTCGCCTGCATTTATATTCAGCCTCAATTAGGTCATGTACATTTTTCTCTAAGCACATTTAAATAAAAAAAAAGGAAAATAAAAACAATAGCCACTGACTATGCTCTGTAGGACATAAAATATAAGAAAATGAAGAAGTAAATGTTTTTTTACAGCAAATTTTAAACCTTGATATTGAAGGAAAGGTTCTAGATTGCTGGCTGCTGGGACGGTTTATCCCAGTTTGGAAGAAGCTTACAGCGTGGATCTGTGAGCAACAGTTCATCACATTTCAGTGATACATTTGGAGTATAGTTTAAAAATCAGAGTTAACATGGTGCCAGCCTTTTTAAGTGAACGAATGATAAAATCTTAAAACCAATTCTAAAACACTCAGGCTGCTGCAATAAAAAAAAGGGAGTCTTGGTTGCGCATGACAGATAAAACTGCAGTCAGCCATCTGTGACAATCAAATGCTAAGTTTAGTTAAAAGTTGGGTAATCTTTTCAAGGTCATTTAAAGAAAAAGGGACATAGTGAGTGAGAAGTCAGTGAGAAAATGCATGTGAAATTTAAACTGTTCTCCAGAGTAAGAGTGCTCAAAAGGTCAAGTTCTTGGAGGTTGGAAAGTCCAAAAAATAATACCGTATTTTCTGTACTATAAGCGAGCCCTATTGCGCGTAAAATAAGGCACCTCTATTTTGCTTTCATTTAGTTTTATGGTGCGTTTGACACCTTCCAAAAACACAAAGCTCCTTACATCAAGCTTTTTTGACACATAAATTAACTAATACTTTACCTAAACCCAAACACACGATCACTGAAACATGGGAGTGGCAGCATCATGCTGGGACTAAAGCTGAATAGTTTCCATTGTAAATAGTGGTTCTAAAGAGCAATGCCTCCTGAGGACTGGAACATGGATGCCTGTGACATTTTTCATTTTTCAAAGACATTTTACTTTGACCAGTTAAAAGCTTTGCATTATTTCCTTTTAACTTCAAAATTATATAATTATTACTACTTTATGTCCCTCCACCACATCCTGATCAAATAAAATGAGGTATGTGGGTTTTAATGTGACATAGAGTCATGACTCTTCAAGTTGTATAAATACTTCTGCAGATTAATTGAAAAAATATCCAGCTAAGTTAAAGGTTAAGATTTAAGTTTATTATTTTAAGCAAAATACAGATTCAAACATTTTAAATAAAAGTAAAAAAAAAAAAAAAGGTCTTAAAATCATTCAACCACTAGAGGGCACTAAACAACTGCAGAAAGAGGATGTTTGGTCCTCAGTGGGCTATGCTCCCTGAAAGGCTGTTTATCTTTTAAATCATCAGTCCACAAGGGGGAGAAAGCAGATCTTGCAGGATATATTCATCTCATGCAAAACACTGGAAGACCTCTGAAAAAAGGAGAAACTATTTTATGTTGGTTGCAACATTTTAGCCAATTTAACAGCCGATTTAAACTGCTGAATTACCTCCTCAGGATGACATTTACATCTGCACAACCTGGTGTTCCTAATGGGAACAATCTAAAAATATGCAAGACATTGGCCCTTAAGGAACATGGATCATGCTGTATGAATGAAAAAATATAAAAATATTTTTTTTCCTTAAGTTGTGTGGCTGGTTAGTGAGGAACCGTGCTGTAAGGAGGTAGTTTCTAAACAAAGCAGTAAGCTCCACTGGTTAACTGTTCAAGTGTCTACTGCTGTAACTGCGATCTCCCTCCACCCAGTAAGTCTCAGTCTGCATCTCCATCAGCCGAGAGATGGTCCTTTGGAAGGCAAAGATCTCCTCCTCAGCTGTGAACAGAGTGAGTCTCTCTGCTGCATCCTAAAAAAAGAAGGTTAAACATAACAGTTAGCAGCTTATACACTTAGATCCAGTCAAAGTCTAATGTTTCAGACGAAATCTGACAGGTTTTAATTACTGGATCATCTATTTAAACCTGTCTGGTAGAGTTAATACATATCAGCGCTGCGAGGTGAGAAAGGGGAGCTCTTACATCAGTGAGGCCCAGGTCATCCAGCAGCTGTCGATCTCTCTCATCTTCTCCTCCAGTATGAACGAAGAGCCGGTCTAATGGAGCTGCTGCCAGAAGCACCACTCTCACCTGGAACAAAAAACGAGAGGTGTAAGTCCTGAGTTTTAATAGCTAGGAAACCTCACATCCATAACTCTAAGTTTTTTGTATCTAAAAGCAAGACTGCTTCCACTGCCTCTTTAAACCTACAGTTTCTACAGTTTTGAACAAGTTAATGTGTTTTGAACCTTCCTAGTCAGAACAGGTAAACTGAGGTTTTTATTCCTAATTTATCAAAATATAGAATAAACAATATCAAGCCCTATGAGTTTCATAAGATATAGATTACTAAGGACCATTTGTCGGTAGAGATAAAAATTAAGATGCTTCTTTAACTGCGTTAAAATTCTGAGCTCCTATATGTAAAAAAAAAAAGGATAAGAAAATTAGATCTCAGCAGAGTGGTACCTACAATTATAGATAATGCTTTGTAGCCTAAATGCACCGGAGAGGATCTGTGGGACATCAAGATGTCTCTAGCAATATCACTCCTCTTAGTTTGTTTAAAAAGGAAGTGTTTCAATGAGCCAGTTTTCTGATTGATGTTCACTTTTGTAGAATTTCAGACCTTAATGATGTGGTGTCTTATTACAATATGCTGGTGAAGATTCTCAGTCATCCTGGTCATTGTTATTCCAAAAAAAGTTAAAAAACAATCCACTTCAAAATCAAATTCTAAATTTTGAATTGAGAAAGCTTCCTGGATGGGAAGCGAAACATCTTCAATCTTGGAAAAAAAAGTCCAGTGGATTGTTTTTTGGAAAGCTTTATTACCAATCAGAGTTTTACACGTATGAACAATCGGTTTTGGTGATCAGTTGCTACATATAGACAAGAAAATCTATAGTGAGAATAAACATTTTTGGGAATATAAAATTATAACAAACTGAAAGGGAAATAAACAATGAAATTCTACTCTATTTAAGAGGAAACTAAAGTAAACTTAAACTTCCACAGCAAACTGGATTTATTGACAAAACATGCCATCTAATAGCTGTTTGAATGAGAGAAATAATACAAATAATTCAAATAATTCTGCACAAATAGTATTTCAAGTGTTTTCTTTTAGTATTTGTATTTTTTGGAATCTGAAACTACATTCAGGACCTTTGCTGCCTGTTTAAATCATTGACCTTGTTTGTACAAGGCAATGCTCTCTTTGAGCTTTTTGAACAATTCTCACAGGCCATCTTTCTGACATGCAAAGGAACCTACTGTCAAAAGACCAGATATTTGATGTGTTTATTCCAGGCATTCTTCATAACAAATGAAGATTTCATTTTGGATGTGACCTTTTGCACTGCTGGCTTATTCAGTGTTTAAACTGTGTGCAATTTCTTATTTGTAAATCCCTTTAACTAAATAAAGTGGCAAATGCAAGTTGGCTGATGCACTGCAGTGATGCAATCCGTATTCCTACAGACAAATACGCTAAGAAAACTGTAAATATTTTTTATGTAGCTTACAATGATTAGAAAGTTGAATAAACATGGATAAGTGATGTGTAACCTGTATGAACCGATCTTTAAAGTAGTTCTATTAGTTAAAGCAAAAAAAAAAAAAAACAGCAAAAAACTGGACTGTCATCATTTATTCAATTAAATCTGTTACTTTATGCAGTATGCAGAAAACTGAGGGGCAACCAAAGGTCACAGACAAAGCAGAAAAGGACGTTTTTCTATAAGAAGTTTGGTTTTCAAAGCTGCATCTTGTTACCACATTCTTATGTCAAGACTTGAATTACCACAACTCCATCTATCTGATTTTCGGATTTGATCTAAATTACAGACTATTAATTTTTAAATCAGAGAGAAATAGCTCAACCTTGCTAATGTTCCACCGGAAATTACACGAGTGAATCATTCTCAACTAAGGGTAATAAATGTATTATTATTAAATAGTTGGGAATATAGAGCTCATTGATTCTCCTGCACTCGCCTTTTTATCTAAACTGTTTACCTTTTTGTCATAGAAATTGTCTATGAGGGTGGTGAAGCGCCTGGCCTGGTCTTTCAGAGTCAGAGTCAGGATGGGAACATGGCGGATGAACACGGTGTCAAAGATCCGGGCCATCTCCAGGTAATCGCTGGCACCCATTGGCTGGAGAAGAGCGAACAAGGGGACATACTGAGAGCAGTGGGTGCACGTTTTTACAGCTAAGTAACCTCTACAATTTTACAACAAGAGCATTTTGTACAAAATACCCTTGTTGATCAAATGTCCTTGGTGGAGGGGGCTGTCATTCAATTTAATTGCTCTTAAAATTAATGAGGATATGGCAACAAATGTCAGAGGGAGCCTTGAAGCTCAGATGCCTTCGAAAACTCTCCACTCTCCATCAGGGTTGAGACTTTACACAAACACTGCAGAATACTGCTGCAAAAGGCTATAAAAGACTCAACTAATCAAAAATTCGTCAATAGTCTTGCTTTCTGACATTGAGCAGACAAATAGGACCTGGATAGAGAGAAAGCTTTGGACAATACCAGAAAAGCATAGGGGGGAAAAACGGGGCTGAGAGGTAATAATGACAAGGGCTTTAATCTCTGCCGATTTTATTAGATGTTAGTGGATTTGGAGTCTGAAGTGAGCGATATGCCACAAAAGGGCTAGAAATCTTTATGCCATTCTAATTGAGACTATATGCGAAAAACTAAATAAATAAAAAAAACTTTTAAAAGATATTTGAAGCAAAACTCTTGCTCCCTCCATCAGTATAAAGAAGGAAATTAGCAGACTGATGCTTCGAATGAATGAATGAAATATAAGGAATCAGTTATTACTGCCAATTACCTTTGAGTGACAGGAACATAGTTTGTAATGTTACTTAAAATAAATAACTAATTATAGTTACTTCCTAATAAAAGTAACTGAGTTATTTATGCAGTTACAACACAATCCAGTGAAAACAACTATCCAGTCACTTTTTATGATCTTAAATATAGAAGACTACAACTTTGCTTTAAAAAAAACCTGAGCTTTAATTATGAAATTATTAAGAGGACTAAATATCTAAAAAACAATAATCATTAATCTGCATCATTTTGGCGTGTGTGGTCTGACAAGTGACCTGCAATATAATTATGTTAATGTGATTATATTTTTTGAATGTAATAAAAAGCAAATATAGTGAATGAGTTGTTTTAGAAATGTATACTTTTGCACGTCTGCAGCTTTTAACTTGCTGTAAGGTAGGTATGAAGCTGAAAAATTATGTTTTTCATGCAATTAAACACAAACAATTGCTGGTGCATAATTGCTGGTACTCTCCAGTTGTCACTGCTGCACCCTAAATGCACCAGGGAGCGTTATCATAGATCCTTCCTCCCAGCAACGGTTGACTCTATAACCACTACTGTTATCAACTAACTCAATAAGTTGTTACATTCATTCTGATTTTTGCACAGTTTCTCTTAGTGCTGCTGCTATTTTCACATATCCACTGCTGTAAAAATGTCCACAGCTTTTAACTGATTATTCTCCAGATAGAGAGTATTTATTTTGCAAAAAAAAATACTAAAATACAGTATTTTATTTGTTTATTTTCTTAACTTTGTCACTTATTCTGTTATTTTTATTCATGTTTCTAAGGCCCACATTGTGTGACAACTTCTGCTATAACCTTGTGCTGCTGTAACACCACAATTTCCCCATTATGGGACAATAAAGGGCTTTTCACTTCTATTCTGAAGTAAAACATACTTTGCAAAATAATTAAACACAGTTCCCATTACTTTAGAAAAACACAGCAGGACTGAAAAAACCCCCCAAAACAACTCACAATAAAAAAACATAGACCGTGCAAGTGAATTGTGCAGAACACTGAGAAGTAAAAAAAGAAACGTGTTGATTAAGACAGCCAGCTGTCAGTCAGTGAAGAGGTTATGTAAAGAGCGTCTTTAGGTTAGATCTAATGTTTCCAGGAACTTGAATTCAGCCAATGGTCCTTTTTCTTTAGGAATGCTGTCATTGAATCAGTGGCTCTACTCCACCATCCCTCCATCAGATCAGGCATCCTGTAGACCTTTACCTCAGATAATCAGCATCACCTATGTGTATCTCAGCTCCCTGCTCATCCCTGCAGTACATAAGAACTAAATAAAGTAGATTTTGAGTAACATAACAGCATTACCAATAGGGATGCACCGCTCCGATATTTGTATAGGTATCGGTCCAGATATAAGGAGAAAAAAAACTAGATCCAGATCGGTGACGACTGACTCGATATAGGGGCCGATCTATTCATTCTAACTCTATGCTATGCTCTGCCGCCATGCGGCCGCGCAACAACACAACATGGCCATATTGTTTATAATGGAGCTCTCTCAGCCTACTAGCCCAATGGCTACGTGCAATATTTGTGGGAGAAATGTTCTGAGGGGCGGTGTTAAATCTTCACACTGTAACACCACCTACTTAATGAAACACTTCCAGAAGTTTCATAACAAGGAACATGTTGGGATTTTCGGACTCAGCAAACAAAAAGGAAGCAGCGGGAAGCAGCTAACTTCTTTGGAAGCAAAAGAAAGAAGTGATTTTTTTTCCATTTAACAGTATACAAGTCAAAAAAATCACAGAGATGATGACACTTTTTTATTACATGTTGACAAAGTCAGAGAACTTTTGGTTTAAGATGTTGTGCAGAGTTGTTGAGTCATAACATTTATATTTGGGTTGTTTCCTATTTTTTTTAGGAAAAGGGAATTCAAATCAAATCATATGCACAGAAGAATGATCCCAGTTTTAGTTTTTTTCACACAATAAAACACATTTTTTAGGTAATAATTCAGTGCTTTTTTGGTATCGGCCGACATTAAACGTCAAATATCGGTATCGTATCGGAGGTAGAAAAAAGTGGATTGGTGCATCCCTAATTACCAATATTAAAAGTAATTACATTATTTTTACAATAAAAAATAAATGCAGTTACTAATACGTTTTTTATGCAACGCCTCTACTCCCATCACTGGACAGGACGTAAAGCTAACAAAGTTACATTATTTCATCCCATATTCTCTGTTTAACACATGCTAATCTACACACCTTTATTTTTTCTGGTTCTTTTGACTGAAAGCTTCAACTGTTTGCTAAATTTGTGATTTTTTTGTAGTCCTTTTTCAGAAGGCTGTCCCAGTTTGATATGCATCATCTGTGTGATCAGTCCCGTTAGGACGTCTTTAAGTCTGAAGGCTGTCCAGGATTAACTTTCTACCCACAATAGTGGACTAACTGTTGACTCCACAATAGGTGAAATGATAGCAGCTAAGATTTACACCATTAGTAATCAGCCCAGGTGTTCTTAATTCCTCCTTTCCTTTCCTATCATCCTGATTCCTGACAAAGATGACAGAGGAAAAGAAAACTGCTGATTTATCACAACTGATGATATAACAGTATGTAACAGAAAAACTAAGATAGTGAAGCTCTGTTGGGAAGGAAGCTCCTCTGCAGGGTTGGTTTCTTAATCTCTACATGGCTTTTTAATTCAGCTAAGTGGAGATTAAATGATTTGCTTTGCTGCATGTCTTTTGTCTTCTTGAATGTTTAGACTGATAAAATGGGTAAAGCATAGACTAAAGCTTGATCAATAAAATGAATCAGCAAACATCTACAAGACGATGGCTAAAAAAACACATAGTCTAAATTTTAACCTGATTTAAATGTTAAGGCTGAAACTTAGTTTAGCTGTGCAGAAACAAACCTGTAAATAAAACCAGGCTTTATGTTGCACTTTATTTGTATTCTGAAACCAGGATTTCCAAAACCCAGAGAACAAGAGTCAGGGTAAAGGGACCATACCCGACTAACAGTTCCACAAGGGCTTCTGCTGTGTCAAGCTTTCTTATTTGACCATTTTTGAGCACTTTTTTAAATTAACATGACACCCTGTCAGTCTTACAGGTGAGGACATGTTCCAATGCTGTTTATATGTGCAAACACTGCATGCAGCAGTGTTTTTGTCATTATTATGACTGCCATAGTCTAATAGAAATACAATTGAGCCATTAATTTGCCATTAATGCCATGGACCAGGGAGACATTTTGAGCTAAATAGCAGTGGTTCTGGATGACTGGAGTCGTAGCCCCCTTGAAGTGTGAGTGACAGAAATAATAAGAATATAAACCCAGAAGAAGACGTTTGTTTTTCTACATACAAATAATTTTTTGGCAGTACTCACTTTACCACACAGCTCATGAAAAGTACAGTCAGCGATGGAGCCACATGTCTTCTGTAGAATCACATCTCTGCCCAGCACAGTGAGCACACGAGGACCTATAACTAGAGGAAGCGAAGCACAGCGAGGAAATCATACAAATGATTTTCTTTTTAAAAAATAGTGAAATTTCAAAATAAGGATAGGATAGATTTCAGCAAATAATAGACTGTCATAAACTTTAACTTTAACAGCTTTCTCTGTTTTGATCTTTGTTGTATGGTACTATTGTTGTGTAAATAAAAAACTATTAACTTAAAAACGTAACTTTTTGGTATACATCGCTTTCCCAACTTTTGTAGAGTAATAGCTTGAAATAAGATTTGGAGCAATCATAAAACAAATGTTTTTGGCAACACAGATGTTAGCTTTACATTACAAAGCAAAGCACTTCTTATTTTCCTGTTAACGTGGGTCTGTGCCACTCCCTTCCTTTCCCATTCACACTTAAATGGTTGTTTTATGAATAACATGATGACCATGAAGTTTGTGGCATATTTTTCTCTATTTTCCTGTATCTGTGGGAGATTTGTTGGACTTATAAAACAACAATCGACGCTGGAAGCGGAGGGGGGTGACATTGATTGGTTCTTGCTTATCCAGACTATTCTATAACGTTCCCAAAAAACTTGTCATGCAACGGTTTGGGATATTTACAAAGAAACAAACAAGAAAATTTGTAAAAAAACAAAAAAAAACAAAAACAGATATGTCTGTATGGACGCCAGTTAAACCCTCCCCCAAAAAGGATGAGCCTTTTCAGTCCCTGGTATATAAAGTGATTTAAAAATGTTTTTTTAACCTCCCTATTTTTGCCCTTATTTCAGTTTGGTGTGTTCCTTTATATGTTTAGGGTTAGAAGGAAATGGCTTGAAGCTGAATTTTAACACTTCTTTAAAGGTTTAGTCACAAAAACATAGATTTGGTAAAAACAAATTGTCCAAAATAACTTAATACCTAATGACACATTAAAAGGTGGACAGAGTCAAACTTTCTTACCACTTCTCTGTCTTATTGACATCTCCTCAAAGAGTGTGTCCAGGTAAGCCTCTGCTCCAGGCTCCCCCGAGCTGCACACCAAACACACAGACACGCAGCAAAACCACACAGGAAACAATTGGATATAAAATTAATAACGCTGAAGTGGCCACATCAAACGCTGGAAGCAAGCAGAGCTTTGGTGTTGAGCACTTAGCTTTTCACTCCATCAGCAAAAAAAATACGGATGTTAGAATCTAAACACGAGCGTCAGCCTATGAATGCTCGTCAAAATGAGTCGGTGGAGAGTTTATGTGTGTGTTTGTAAGCTTGTGTTTTAACTCCCGGTAAAAGGGGTGTGATGCTCTGTGTTTTCATGCACTTGAATGGCCCAAACTTGTTTAGCTGTGTGTGTGCGTTCCTAAGAGCGGATATGTAATGAGGAAAATAAAAAAGTAGCTTTTAAAGCTCTGCCATTTTCTCATGTTCTATTGATTCCTTTCATTCTTTTCATGGCTCTTTCAAGGTAATGCAGGTCTTTATAAACCTCCCTGCCTGCTTCTACCCATTTATGCATCTGTTTGCCTTCTCTTTGAATCTTTTACAAAAAAGAAAAAAAAAATCTAACTACATCATGTGCACAAACATTTCCTATGTGTAAATGTTTGTGTGGATGCGCAATCAGACCTCTCCACCGTCTCTGAGCTGGACTGTTCACTGAAGGGAAACGATGACGCATGCAAGTCTTACAGGTAGTAGAGTTTTCCAGCTCCAGGCCTGTCCAGCCTCCTGTAGTCAGTCCCAGAGTCCAGGCAGATGGTGTGACAGTAGTCCTGCACGCACAAAGAGAAATACATGTTCCTAATTTTACTTATTATTTGGGTTTTCAATTAGGAAGTCATGAAAAGCTAAAGATCTTAGAATAAACATTAAAAATTAAAGAGAAAACTATAAGTATTCTTTAGTATTAAATAAAGAAATATATTGGGGTGATGGTAAGGGTTCTATGGATATAATGGGAAGCAAGATATATATTTTTTTACCTATTACTGATTTCTGAAAGAAGCAGGATAACTGAATTGATTGTGCTGCTGAATTTCTGCAGGATAATTTGATCCAAAAGATATTTGAGTGTTTTGCTCTAAAATACAGACACATCTGTTCAGCTTCAAATTTTTATTTTACACCACAAATATAATCTTTGCCATAACATTAGGGAAGTAATTATTAAAGGAAGAGAATCAAGTAATTTAGGTTAATGTCAGCATTATGCCTCATAAGGACCCGAAGGTCTTCATGAGGCATCAAGAAATAAATTAATGACTCAAAAAATCAGACTTTAGATTGAAGGATATTTCATGAAATTACATAAAGTCCAAGTAAACAGATATTAAAGAGCGTTAAATTTTCAGAAAATTAGCAAGTTCTCAGGTTTGCACGAAGGAGGTCAATGTTTGTGTGAAGAGCTGCAGATTAATCTGGTTACTAAGGAGTAAATTGATCAAGTTTTATATCATGTTTTGCTACAATTTAGAAGATTACAAAACTGTTAAGTTTTGCTTCTTGTACTGCAGGAACTAAATGCTTAGGCTTAGGCTATTCTCTAGTGAAATAAAGAGGAAATACTGTGTGAACAAATAAAAATGACAGGACTACAGAAGGCGACAGGATAACATGGACCCATCTGTTGACAGCTCAAAGATTTTGTGCCACTGCTTTATGGTTTATAGAGCCAAACTATTGTTCTGCTGCACTCAAGCTGAAGTGAACCTGTGAAACTTTTTGAAATAGTGTAAAACGTCAACAGGATTCATGTCAGGGAGTGCAGCGCAAACTATAATCATCATCGCCACTATTCTATCAAAGAAAAGAGAGGAATTGCATATCATTCCAGGCAAGCCATCAACGGCTGACTGAGTATCCTGCGACAGCTCCATTAAATTATAAAATCAGTGAATTTCTGCCACTGGCCTCCTTAAGCTGCAGGATAATTAGTAATCATCACAAAGCATGGGGACGGAAATACTCTATTCTTCTCCGCTGTCAACTTTTTATCTCCGTGTCCGCTCACACAAACGGGGTTCCCACTCTGAGCCAATTGGCTGAATCAGGCTTAATAACAACCTGACAAACTCGCCCTCCCTTGCGCACAAAAGGGAGGTGTCATTTCATCAACCTTCGGTGACCCCACCAACCGGTAAATACTCTACCAAAAGCAAAAAAAAAAAAAAAAAAAAGGAAAACTTGTCACAATTGCCGCCACATCATTAGAATCTTAGTTCAGCTTTTCTCTTGCCATCTTCCACCCCTCTCCCCCCTCTCTCTTTGTGAACGATGTCTACCTACAGTGAAGACGGCTGACGGAGGTATAAATAAGAGAGGGGGAAAGAAGAAGGAGCAATGGAAACACAATCAGAGATGATGATTCCATTGGTTATTTATAATCAGATGAGGCTGAAGCCTCGCGGGTCATTACTTGATTATCCATCTTAAGGGATTGTCAAGATCCCACTCCTTCAAGATTTCCTCCGCCTACACATTGTGGTCTTTCAACCTCCCCACCAACCCCCACCTTTCATCATGCTCCTCTGACAGTAAGATTTCACTTTCAGTTTACTTTGCAACTTACAGACTCAGCTCAAACTGTCTTTTTTTTTTTATTCGCTGATCCACCTCTGCTGTGAGAAAACAGGAACAAAACACCAGACGTTTAGGTGCTTTTTAAACCCTATTAAATCAATGATAGCAATACCATGTTTGTATACTTGGTCAGTAATTTAGTATCTTTTGACCCAAGCAATTAATCAAATTGAATCACTGTGCACTGGGTACTATTGTTACTGCTAATCATTATTAATATTATCAATAATCATATTCATATATTTTCTAATTAATCTCACAAATTAACAGATAAGCTATTTTTGATGTCACTTATTATATATTTTCTTTATCAATATACCAATATTAATATTTCAAAATTTGCAAGTATGAGCTAAAGTATTAAAGTATTATAGTATTGCTTACTTATATTGTAAAAACACTGTACAGTACTTTGTTTATTTTCTTATCTGTTATTTTTATACACTTTTCTCAGGTCAACATTGTGTGAGCACTTCTGCTATAACCTTTTGCTGCTGGAACACCACAATCTCCCCACTGTGGGACAATGAGGGGCTTTTCTATTCTATTTTCTAGAGTTGTAGTAAGTCTTGGGCTCAAGACCATATTTTCAGGTTAATTTTTACTCAATTTAGTCTTGGTCTTGGGTTTATTTAACAGGACCGGTCAAGACCATTGCTGATAAGCTTTGTCCATACCTTACTGATACGGACCCTTTCAAAACAGCAAAAACTTAAAATCATTGGTAGTGTAATGATTTCCCCCAGATGCAGCTGCTACCTGCCCACTATCGGTGTGAAACTGACTGACCCCTGCTTGAAAAAAGGAAAATGGAAGACTACTGTTGAAAAATACCTTATTGAAATGTTAGCTTTTTCACACTGCTCATTTAACTTCGCTGGTTCTGATGCTTTTCATTATTTCCCTCTATTACAGTTAATTTTTGTTTAATTGAACTTTTTCAAGAAATGTAACAAGTTTTTTATGATTTCGAATGTGTTGCTTTGAGGATAAACAGAGCAAAGATTGCTTTGCATGTATTTTGTAGAGACATTGTAGACAAGTAGCCTTTTACAACTAAAACATAATTTGATGAGCAGACTGTCACCTCAGTAGTTCAGTTTCAATGCATCTATAATCCTGTAGCCTATTTTCCTTCATTTACTTTGGGTCAGAAGTTCCCATGCTGTTCGGCAGATGTGACATCAAGCGTGTCCATGCTGAATTGGTCTGACCTAGCAATCAAAGTGTTATATTTAAAATTGATTTTGCAGATCCTCAGACCTGAGCATCCAGCTCAGTAGGTAAAATGAAAAAAAAAAAAAAAATTCCTTGTCAAAAAAAAAAAAAAAAAAACTAATTCCCTTGAAGTAGCTTCATTTTCAAGCCTTTGAACATATCTTGTGTTTTTGAACACAAGTGTTCAAAAGTTTGAAAATGCAGGTACATCAAGGGAATAGTTTTTTTTGTTTTTGACAAGGTATTTTGTTTTCATTTTACGTTGGTTTTTGTTCATCATTATAACATCAAAATTTAGCTTTCCTCTCATCTGAGCAGCTGTTATCTGTTAAGTATAATCTATAGATTTTATCAAGGTAAAAATTGTCATTTTTCCTCGAGATATCAGGCCCTATGTCACTATATGTGGCTAAAATTGTATCCTGAAGGAGGGGCAGTGTATCAGGATGACAATGCACCAATACACACAGCAAGACTGGTGAAAGATTGGTTTGATGAACATGAAAGTGAAGTTGAACACCTCCCATGGCCTGCACAGTCACCAGATCTAAATATTATTGAGCCAATTTGGGGTGTTTTGGAGGAGCGAGTCAGGAAACATTTTCCTCCACCAGCATCATGCGTGACCTGGCCACTATCCTGCAAGAAGAATGGCTTAAAATCCCTCTGACCACTGTGCAGGACTTGTATATGTCATTCCCAAGGCGAATTGATGCTGTATGGCCGCAAAAGGAGGCCCTACACCATATTAATAAATTATTGGGGTCTAAAACCAGGTGTTTCAGTTTCATTGTCCAACCCCTGTATTTCGATTACAACTTGTAAAAAAATGCTAAAATAAGGAATTGTGGCTAAGTCAGCAACTCTATCCTACTTTACTTAAACTGGCAATAAATTATCTGCTTAATCCGATTCAACTATATTTCAGATAAGGATTCCCTTAAGACTGCATATAATTCTATCTGAATGACATTTTTTTCTGTATTAGCTATCATATGTGGACGCACTGTATATGCTGTATATATCCCACGCACCTTTTTCTTCCTTTGGCACATTCTTCTTCTTTGACTATTTGAGCTGATGTAACAAGTACATTTCTCCACTGTGAGATCAATAAAGTCAATCAATCCTTTCTTGTAAACTGTCTTTTTAACCACATGGTCTGTGTGAAACCAGCAAAATTCAGCCAATATAAATATCTTTCACTCAACTTGAATTAGCTTAATTTAAGTGTGAAAACATTTTCAGATCCAAGGTCCTAAGCTAATCGAACACAAGATATATATTGCAACCCTGCAAGGTCAGCAAAAATCATCTATTTATCTTAGGAGTAGAATTTAGACAGCCTAATGACTGTGAGTCACATTGTGACCAGTGGTGGAAAAGTTTCACCACTCAGATGAAAAAACAGACCCTTAAGAAAGTCATCCCAACACACGTAGCTCCGATCAAGTCAATGTCAGACCCGTCCGCCGCTCTAACAGGACAGCCGTTTAGCATAAAAACAGAGTGGCTTCTCTCCTTTTACTGGCTTTCCTTCCCTGTGTGACATATCTCTCTGAATCCCTCACTCCTCAAAAAGTTGCTTTTGAGTTTTTCAAAGAACACGGTGCCATTGAGCTGCAACAAAAGCCAAGGATAGCTGACTATTGGGCCCTGATGAGGTCCACTCCCTCATTATCCAGGAGCAGAAAACATTTGATGCTTTTTCTTTTTTTTTTTTTTTTTTGTTTGGCCTGGAGAATTGACCAGGCCTCAAAGAAATGCAGGGTGGGAAGGCTGAAAAAGAGATGAAGGGGGAGAGATGAGGGGGAAAGGTTGTAGTCCATTCAGCCATGTGTGTCTTACAGCCTTCTGTGGAAGGGGACAGAAGAAAAGTGGGAGGGGGCAGGGACAGGGGGGTCGAGAGACAGAGAGACGGGGGAGACAAGAGAGAAAGCTTAAAACACTGCCTTTATGCTGGCAAGTTCTGTAC